CATCCCCTGCCATCCTGTCCCTGCCTGTGCCATCCCTGCCTGTGCCAGCCACTGCCATCCCCCGCTGCCCTGCCCCTGTCCCTGCCATCCTCTGCCATCCTGTCCCTGCCTGTACCATCCCCTGCCTGTGCTATCCCCTGACAGCCTGTCCCTGCTATCCCCTGCCAGCCCCTGCCATCCTGTCCCTGCAGGTGCCATCCCCTGCCTGTGCCAGCCACTGCCATCCCCTGCTGCCCTGCCCCTGTCCCTGCCATCCCCTGCCATCGTGTCCCTGCCTGTGCCAGCCCCTGCCCCTGCCAGCCCCTGCCATTCTGTCCCTGCCTCTGCCATCCCCTGCCCGTGCCATCCCCTCTGTCCCTGCTGCGGTAGTGGCCGCAGTGGTGTCCCACCAGCAACCACCATGGAACACCCTCCGTGGAAACACATCGTCCCACATTCCCCACCTGTTTTCCTGTGTGTGTTTGAGGACCATGTTTCTGACCACGCTGCTGTGGGCCAGACGCTGTCTCGGTGGCGGTGACACGTTGCATGAAGCTGTGAGGGTGGTGAGCCCCTGGGGCAGGTTGCCCCGAGAAGCTGTGGCTGCCCCATCCCTGGAGGTGTTCAAGGCCAGGTTGGACGGGGCTTGGAGCAACCTGGGCTGGTGGGAGGTGTCCCTGCCCAGGGCAGGGGAGGTGGAACGAAGTGATCGTCAAGGTCCCTTCCAACCCAAACCGTTCTGTGGTTCTGTGGTTCCTGGATGTGGGGCACTGTTGTGCTCTGGAGAGCTCTGCCACACTGCTCAGAACACAGCTCCACTGGGAACTGGAGCTCCAGGAGGTGCCCGGGCACACCCCGCCATTGTAGGCTGGAGCCCCCAGGTCTGATCCAGCCCTCCGTCCCAACCCTCCCACCGCAGCGGAGCAGCAGGAGGCTCCGGGATGATGCAAGGACCAGTTAGTCAAGGAGTGATGCAAAGAACATGCAAAGCTTATTCCTCGAGCAGGGCGCTGCTGCACGGCCCCTGCCCAGCCCTTACAGCCCGGGACATCTGGGCGATGGCGGTGCTTGTTGGGGATGTCCCACGGGGGGCTGCCACCCAACGTGCTGCCTGGGCACAGAGCCCCTCAGGGTGGGGATGCACGTCTGCTATGGGGTTGAGCCTTCATGTGTCCTCCAGGATGAGAGCAACGCCTTCCCGTGGGATGGTGGCACTGTCCCAGCTGCCGGCTGGGGCCCCAGAGCAAAAAGGAAGGGGGGAGTGGTGGGAGCCCAGGTCCGGCCATCAGCCCCCCCTCCAGCCTGGCCTTGACCTAAACCCTCCCCAGGTGTAGCTGCGTGAATGGGTGAGAGATGTTCTCTCCCAAATTGCAGCCCACAGCCGGCTCCTGGTGTGGCTGGGTTTGCACACCCAGCCTGGCACAGCCCAAGTCTCACCCATCCCAGACCCCGTTTCCCAAAACCACCCAATATTAAATTCGAGATTCAACCTATGACCCAAGTTCCGTTGCTCTCCTTCTCGGCTCTTTCCAGTTTTATGCATCTCATTTGCGCCTACACGAGCAGGCAGGAATTGCTGAGGCCGGTGAAATTATCTGGTGGCTTTCCAAGAGCAGGGAACACGCTTCTTCGCTGGGACGCGCAGTCTGCTGCTGGTCACCTACGTCACACCAGTGGGTTTGCTGATCACCAGCCTTTCCTCCTTTCACACCTCAGATCATTTGCCTAAGCAAAACGCCCATTTATTTTAGGAGAAAGGAACACAGCCCATGGGGGAAGGGTTTTAAGATGATCTCAATCGCCTCACCCACCCCATCATCTTCTGACCATGATGGAGGCAACTTCTCCAGCCATGCCTACAGCTTTGATTCTTCCTCTCTTGCAAACAGCCTGGAGACTTTGCTGGATTCAGGGATTTTTCCCTCTCCTAGCCCCGGCCGGGAAGACCCAACAGGCTCAGCATCAGCTGCCCCTTTCCCCAGGCAGGTCCTGGGTGGGGGGCTCCCCCCGCCAGCCCCGCTTGGCTCTCGGGGATGCCCTGCCCTCAGCAGGGTTTGCCCTGTGACCCTCCAGCTAATGCCAACCTCAAAGTGGCTGCAAAAAAAGGTGACCAAACCCGAAGCCTAAAGCCCCCGGCACTGGGATGCCAGCGGAGAGAAGCCATGGACTCCGCTGCCAGACCCAGCGCGGCACTGGGAGCCGTGAGAGCTGAGTTTCGGCAGTCTCAACCCCGAGCAAGAGGTGGAGGAACCTCCTTGTTGCTGGGCAAGACCATGGCCAAGGGACCAGGCTGCCAGGAGGGTGACAGGGAGCCCCGGCGCTGGATGGGCAGG